TAGAAGATAGGTATTTATTTTAATAGTCTAGATAATACCTTAGTTTATAAAAATATATCTAAAACTATTACTAACTTTAAATAGGATATATAAGTCCTTTAGCTTTAAATCTATTCTTCTAACTAAGGTGATAAATTTAGCTCTCTTAGGCTAGATTACTAAACTTTTTATACTTATCTAAAGTATTTATCTAGAGAAGTAACTATTACTACTATAAGAGATACTAATATAAACCTCTTTAGAGTACCTCCTATAAGATATAAGTATTATATCTACCTTATAGTAAAATTAATATAATAACCTAATAATAAATAATAAAAATAACTAACTTAGGTTTTTTAGAGACTTTAGATTAACTTCTTAGAACTAATACTATAAGGTTTTAGAGGTATTACTTATAGCTTTTATATTATAGAAGCTTTTTTAAATTATAAATAGTTCTAAGTATTTAAATTAAAGAAAGATATAGCTATTTAGCTATAAAGCTAGTTTTTGAGAAAGATTATAATAATAAATAGTATTATTTACTTCTCTAAAGTTATTATAGATAATAATATAGCTCTTCTTAAAGTAATAGAGCTTTTTACTTAAAAGTAAGGTTTTATCTTAGAAATAGTAATACTTTACTCTTATTAGTAGAATAGGGGGGTAGAAAGCTTTAATAGGGCTATATAATAAAAAGTATAAATAATATATATAGAAGCTAGCCTTTCTAAATCCTTCTAGCTTTAATTAATAAAGACTTCTATAAAAATTAGTAATCTACTATTTAATAGTAAAAATAATATTAGTCCTTATAAAAAACTAATAAATACCTTTAATATATCTCCTATTATAAGAAAACTATATATATACTATCTCTACTATTAAAGTTACTAAATTTATATTTATATTTACTTAGATAGCTATCTATATATAAAAGGGTAGAAGATAAAACTTAGAACTAAACTTAGAAGATTTATAGGATATAATAACCTCTATAGTAATATCTTCTATATTCTTATTAAAAAGACTAATAATATTTAGTAAGTAAGGGATATAATATTTAAGGAAGATAAAAGAGAGCTCCTCTTAGTTAAATTTAATAACTTATAGCTAAGAGAAGAGGTTAAGCTAAAAACCTATAAGTATAGTAATAAACTACTAACTATAACCTATAAAGCTAAGTCTTAGTTTTATAATTTAAATATAAGGTTATACTATTATATTTATTCTACTAAATAAGAACTACTTTAAGAGGAGGTAGATAATTTATATTTAGAAGAAGCCTAAGAATTAGAGAGTAATAATAAATAAGAATAGGAAGATAAGCCTCCTTAAGAATAAAAAGAAGTTAATAGAAAGAGGGGTAGTTTATTAACTCTAAATTTAGAATTATATATATTAATATAAAATATTAGTACTATAAATATATAGGTATAATTAATATTAGAAGAAGATTCTCTTCTATACTAATATTCTCTTACTACTCCTCTAAGTTAGAGTTCTCTTACTATCCCTTATTAGTAATAGAGTTCCCCTACTATATTACTATAGCTAGGATCTTTTATTATTTCCCTCTAAATACCTTAACTAATATAAAGAAAACTAAGGGGAAGATTAAGAAGTAGTAGTAGAGGCTTTACTCTTATAAGATCACTAAGAGTAGCTACTTCTTCTTTTAGTTAAATAACCTAGATACTTAAAACTTAGGTATTATATAATATAAAGAAGTTTAATAAGGAATTTAGTAAAATAGGGGTTATAAAGATTAACTTAATTAATAATGAAATAGACTAAGAACTAGTTACTTTTACTTTCTTAGCGTCTAATCTATTATAGGCCTTTAGTTTAGAGATTTACTTACCTATAACCTTTAAGAAGTAGGAGGTAATAGAAGAAGGACCTCTAAAGTTAGCTATTTTTAATACTATAAAGACTTAAGTTAAAAGCTTATAAAGGATAGAATACTAATAGTTTAAAAAGCTCCTAGATAGCTTTAAATATCTCCTAAGTAAATAAGTATATAATAAAAAAGTTATTATAGATAGAAGACTTAATAGAGTTAAAGTAAAATAGGTTATTTATAGTAACTTTTAAGATAAGAATAATAAGATAGTTTATACTACTATTATTAATTTTATTATTCTATAAGTCTTTTTATTAATTATAGCCCTTAAAGATCTAAAACTTTACTAAGTTAATATAGTTATAACTTTCTTAAATACCCTTATAGGAGATTATAATATCTTTATTACCTAACCCTATAGGTTTAATAATAGAACTAACTAGTTCTATAGACTAAAAAGAGCTCTCTATAAACTAAGAGAATCCTCTTTTCTCTAGTATAAATAAATTATTACTATCCTTAAGTAATTAAGGTTTAATTTACTCCTAAAAGAACCTTATATTCTTATTAATAAGGATAGTATTATAATATTACTTTATATTAATAATATACTTATTATTATACCTAATATTAAATAAGTTAATAACTTTAAAAATAATTTATATAACTTCTTCTAGATTAAAGATTTAAGTAAAGTATAATAGTTTCTTAGGTTTAAAATTATTTACTACTAAAAGATAAAATAATTTTAGATCTTATAGACTAAGTATATTAATAATATATTAATAGAGAAGGGTATTACTAGATATAACTAAGTTCCCTACCCCCTTAGTAATACTTAGTTACTAAAGATTATAGAATAATATAAAACACCTACTAAGATATATAAATATTAAAATAATCTAAATAAGTTATAATAGATTATAAATAGTATATAACTAGATATTATAATACCTATAAGTAGGGCTACTAGAGATTAATAATATACCTCTAAAAAATATAATAAATTACTAAAATTAATATAGAGATATCTCTATAGCTTATAATAACTAGTACTTTACCTTAATAGTTTAGGTTATTCTATTAATAACTTTAAATTATTAGTATTCTATAATATTAGTTAGTCTAATTATAAAAGAATAGGTAAGTTAATAACTAGCTATATAGTTATATATAGAGGAGTACTAATTACTTAGAAATTAGTATTATAATTATTTATAGCTATATTAACCTATAAAACTAAATAGATAAATCTAATACTTAGAGGGAAGGCTTTATTATATATTATAGACCTCTTTAAAAGGATAAATATCTCTATTTAACTACCCCTCTAAGTATATATAGATTCTATAAATACCCTTAATAATTATCTATTAGGTAAATAGTTACTTAAACTATACTATATTAAGATTAAATATTACTAAATTATTAATAATATTAGTAATAGAGACTTTAAGATTAATTATATCCTAACTTATAAAATAATTACTAATAGCCTTACTAAACTACTAATAGTAGAGAAGTATTATAATTTTATTAGAATACTAAGTTTATCTAAACTACTTATAATTAATAATAAGTCTTAATCTAAAGATAATATCTTAAAGCTTAATTTTAATTAAATCTATATATTTATTTATTTCTTTTATATATAATAACTTTATTNTCTTTATATCTTACTAACTAATTAACTTTTATAGTTAAACTTTATATTATTTTAATTACTTTAATTTACTCTTTTTAATAGTTAAATTATTAACTATAAAAGTCTCCTATATAAGAAATTATCTAATAATAAAAGCTTAAAAAGTAATTAAAGACTTTAACTTTACTAAGTTATAAGTTTATTACTAAATTAGATATCTTAGTTAATATTTATCTATATTAAAAATATAATAATACTAACTACTAAAAGAGATATAAGTTTAAGTTTAATTTACTTAATTTTAATTAGATTTTAAAAGTATAAGTTAAAATAAAAATAAAAAGAGAACTAAACTTTATAGTATCTTCTAATAATTATCTTAGTTAATTAAGTTTATATAAAATATTAATATATTTTAGAACTAATTCTTATAAGAATCTATAAACTCTATTTATTTTAGAGTATTAAACTTAATTATAAAATATAAAACTTATATTATTTAATTAGTATTAAGAAGTTAACTAAACCTAATTACTATAAATTTAATTTAAACTTAAAACTTTAGGGTTAAGTTACTAGTTCTTTTAATCTAAATCTATATAATCTAGAGGTAACTAAACTATTAAACTATATAGTTTAAATTTATATTAAGGTTATTTTAAAGTTAGTGAGGGTTCTATATTATAATTAGTATATAACTAAAAATTAGGGGTTAGAAGTATTTTAAGAAGTAAAATAAGATAATAAAGTTAATATAAAAAAGAAGGTATAAGGGAGATAGTTAAGAATAAAGCTAATAATTATATAATTAATCTAATTACTACTTTAGGATAAGAATAGCTTTATAGGGTATAGGAGGTATTAGTTAAAAGGGGGGTATGAGATAGTAGTTAGCTAAACTTAGGCCTAAGGCCTGAACCCCAGTTTAAATCCTACTTTTATATAAGGGATCGGCCACACCACTTTATAGCTAGGCGCGCCTGGCGCTCATAGCTAGATTAATCAAGCCACTTCACGCACCTTGATATCGGCACCGTGGGGCCTGGTGCGCTTCCTATCAATTGTTTAGCGTGCCTTTGTCCAATATCACAGAAATTCGAGAGCTTTGATTGCACATCGGAAGTACGTCGCTTTGTGTGATCCTCCGTTCTTGAGACACCTCACGTCAGCACTTGCCGTTGCCCGACTGCTGTCTGATAGAGCGTTCCTGAATTGCCTAGGAAGGACCAGCAAGCCAGACAGGAAATGGCTAGGCGACAGCCTCATTACGAAATTTGAAGCTTGTCGGCCTTGATTCCACGTCCTATCCAGGGTGGGGTCGTTGAGCGGCACTTAGGACGAAAGATCTTCTGTACTTTGGTGTCTCATCCGAGACAGTAGACAGTGGTCATGAATAAATAGAGGAGAACTGCCCGCGTGAATACAATATTCTCGAATTCTTCTATTCATTAGATCATTATTTGCTCGTTTGTTTGCTCAAAGTTATTCTTTTGGCCCTTTAGGAAAAACACATACAACACCGCCAAGATGGTTTCCCTCTACAACGCCTCCATTCCCATGATGATCAAATACCTCGGGAACCTCAAGCTCATCCTCACCAAAGCCGAGAAGCACTGCGTCGACAAGGGCCTCGACCCCCAAGAAATGATCAAGTTCCGTCTTATCGCAGACATGCGAGGGTCCGTGATCTCCCTATCCACCTGTCTACCTACCTGCCCACCCACCTCCCCGCAAAGCCCACCCCTGACTAACATCACCCCTACCCACAGCCTCGACTACCAGGTCCAGTCCTGCTCCAACACCGCAAAATTCATGGCAACCCGCCTCGGCAAGCAGGAGGACGTCTTCTTCGCAGACGACGAGACCACCTTCCCCCAGCTCCAGTCCCGTGTCGACCGCACCGTCGACATCCTCAGGGCCATCCCGCCCGAGTCATTCGAGGGCAAGGAGGACGCCGAGGTCATCCTCGAGTCCAAGATGGGCAACTTCAAGTTCACGGGGTACACATACGCAATCCAATACGCGTGTCCCAACTTTCACTTCCATCTGGGTTCTGCGTACTGCATCCTGCGCCACTTGGGCGTGCCCTTGGGGGCGTTTGATTACCTTGACTCGCAGAAGGACTTGTTCATCAAGGTGGACAAGGCTTCTTCTTAGCAGGGTAGGTAGGTTTTGTTAGTCGCAGGGTAGAAAGAACAATAAAATATTAGCAATCATACAGATTCCACTTTCTTGGGTACTTGAAGATTTCGGGCCGGATAATTGAACGGTAGAAATGTATGAAAATTGGTAACCCAGGCCATGGAAGTCCGTGATTTGTGTGAAAAGGGACGTTATGAAGCATGTTGCTGACGTCCCAAGTTGTCGTATTCTCGGCCCTGATGCCTCCTCCTTGCCAAGGCTCTTACGGGCATTCATTCGCTCACCTTTTACATCCATGGATGTTTCCTTTTATTGCCTTTAGCTACTCCAAACGTCTCTCTTACTCGTATTTGTAGCTCTTTCTGTTGGTCCTTGCTCATTCTATCCCGCAGTCTGAACCTCCCGGCAGTGTTCGCTAACCCATGACTCTATAGAACCAAAGAGGTAGGCTTTTCCGGAGGGCACTCGTCAGAGCGCAACTACACCATTTCCCATTTCTATGACTTCCAACAAGCAGACCCACAGGCGACGTAGCAACGCGAAAACGAGACAGCACCGCCTTTTCTTATTCTCGTCCCTTACGCTGTTTGATCTCGCGCAGGGGATACCAAAAGGTGGAGATCTAGACGGAATATTGACGGCAAATACGAAAAAGCCGAGGAGATCGCGTAACGGCAGGAACGGCACAAACTGCCTCCACGACTCATGGTATGCTTTACAGAATGTAGAAAACATGCATATCCAGTTTGGTATGCGCTAGAAAAGTTGCTAAAATAAGTCTCTTGGCCCATGAAGTGCCCAAAATGGGAAGACAATACATAGCCGAGAGCTCGGCAAACCGAAATCCCCGTCTGCTGGCGCTGATTCAACTATTCTGATATTTACATGGCACTATGTAGTTGTACCTTAGACCTTGGCTGGTACAGATAGACCTACGCATGATCTTATCCCCCTTGATTTATCTTCAACCTTCTTGCTGCTATGTAAAGACTAACTTTGACGGCACCGCCTCTCTCATTCTATTTGATGTGATTGCTCTGTGAGAGGTAGACATTTGACGATCATGAAGCAGCTTTGCTGCTTCCTCTTGACTCGAGAACAGATGTATAAATGTTCCCAAGCGGACGATGGGTAGGTCAGTTGGGCTAACAGCAACAGGTCTTTCAATACACTCTTTAGGCTCATCACGCCGATTACGCCAATAGCGCGAATTACATTCATTACCATTGTCATTCCTTATAAGATCTGTCTTTCCCTTTCGACATGAAGTCATTGCTATACAGTACCACCCTGGGTGCCGCAATTTCGGTTGCCTCTGCAGCCCAGGTAGACTGGGTAAGTCCCAAACAGCTTCGCACAAACATGCCTACCGTTCCGCCAAGGTTGACAGTACAAATATAGACAGTCGGCATGCGCATGCATGCGTTCATGACCAAAGCAAACCAATGCCCCGAGACCTACGCCGACGCCGCCGCAAACTCGACATACCTCCCGGTCTTTTCAACTGACAAAAGCGTCGTCGCGGGCGCCGAACAACCAGCAAACGCAGGCAAAACATTCTACTTCACAAACGGCTTCCACACCACAGCCGGCGAGCGCTGGGACTCGGCCACACGCACCGGCATCCAGAACGCCGAGCCCATCGCGGCGGGTGGCGGCTGCTGGTCCATATCCGACGACCAGGGCGCCACCATCACAACAACGCCATGCACGTACGCGGATAACCAAACATTCTGGGTGGAAGCCTGGCGGGCGCCCGCAGCGTCAGGGCCCTTCCAGATCGTCAAGCAGGGCCTCGACCGGTTGGCGGTCCCGGCCAACGCGGGCGACGCCATCGGGTGGGCCGAGTCCGATGACGTGTCCGCTTTCTGCTTCTACGAAGCCGAGTCCGGCAGCGTCGTCCGGTCCAGCGAAGCGCGCGCCGAGGACCGCGCGTCTACCATCGCCGGCGCGGCGATGCCCGCCGGCCCCGTGGACCTGATCGAGCTCCCCGGATGTATGGCGGACGACGTCACGTACGCTCCGCGGAGCATGGACTGCCTCGTCGCAAAGACCGCGAACACCGTCCCGTCCAACTGCAGCGCGACGCCCCAGTCCAGAGACTGCGTGCTGCACCTTTTCCCGGCCTTCTGCGGCGATCTCCCCAAGACCGCGGGCCCCAATGCCACGCAGGTCGTCGCTGACGATGCCATCGAGGGGTGTTTGAGGCGTATAAGTCAGGGCCCCTGCGTCGCGAACCCCGCGGGAGCCGCATGTCTGTCAGGCCTGTTCCCTGGCATCGTCTTCGCAACCGGGCCCCCGCCATCCCAGTCCTCATCCCAGCGTATGCGCCGGAGCTATCCGCGAACCTCCCTACACCGACGCCATGAGCTCCTCCTCCACAGCCGCCAGAACGCCCGAGATCCTCTCTTCGGAGACCCCAACGAGAGCTGGCTCCCGGCCGAGGACCAGTTCTGGGTTGGCTTCGCAAAGTCCATCATCAACTCGGCCGTCGACTTCGTGACGCACTTCGACGACGACCTGCGCGAGTTCCAGGTCACGCTCTGCCATGGCATGGTGGCCGTTGTTGACGCCCTCAAGGGCGACCTCGCGCCCCGCGTCAAGAAGGGGTGCGACACCCTCTGGCGCCTCCACGCCGGCGAGGCCGTCCCCAGCCTCAAGTACCAGGGCGACCTCGAGAAAGCCGGGGGAGTGACGGCCGAGGTGGTTCAGATCCTGGCACCCGTCGCCGATGCCGTCGAGGCTGCGAAGGCGCTCGGGGCCGGCAAGTATCTGCCCGATCTGTTGGGCAAGTTCGTCCCCAAAGCCGTTGAGGGCGGCCAGGTCTTGGAGGCCGCGAGCGCCAACGGAGGCAAAGCGGTGCGCATCTACAAGAAGGGACCCAAGGGCGACCCCGAGGTGTTCAAGACCACAAAAGATGAGAAGGTCGCGCTCGAGGACATTGAGAACAACGGCTTCCTCAACTGTGAAAAGATTGCCCGCGGCGCCAGGAAGAAGCGCCAGGGCAGCCTGCTGGGAGACCTGTCGGACCTGGACCTGAGCTGCGACTTTTCCACCTTCGCAGACAACGTCGACGAGGGACGGGCGAACTACGACAGCGACTCAGGCTCCGACTCGGAGTCCGACTCCGACTGGGAGTACGAGCCGCCGGCCGCCATACCGGCGCACGTCAAGGCCGAGGGCCTGACCGCCGAGGAGTCAACGCTCCTCGCGGATCTCAAGAGCAAGTGGGACGACTCCCGTACGGGCGAGCGGTACATGCCTGACTTCGCCGACCCCGACCTGCAGTCCTTTCGCACTCGCATCGAGGCCACGACAGACGTTGCCGAGCGCAAAAAGGTCGTCCGCGACTTCGCCGCCAAGTACAAGCTCACGAGGTCCGAGATAGGCGCCTTCAAGGCGTGGGCGGACCTCTATGAGATACACGACAGCGCGCTGAAATCCGCGGCGGCCAAGATCCCGCCGTTCAAGGGGCTGGTGCGACGGACCACCGCGCTGGACGATGCGACGATGACCATGCTCACCGACTTCGAAAGCGGCATCATCAGCAAAGGAGACAAGGGGGTTTACGAGATTCGCGACCTGGTCTCCAACGTGCAGAGTCTGGGTCTGGGAAGCAGCGGTGAACCGCCTCGCAAGTTCCTGGCCTCGAGTGCGGGCCTGACGGAGAAGACGTGGTTCGGAGGAGATAAGATGTTTGTCATCCAGTCGGAGTCGGGCATGTACATATCGCCGGGCGTCTTTGATGCCGACGAGTTGTATGAAGTTGATTTCCTTGACGGGGTGTCAGGACGGATGAAATTGTTGGGCTATGATGGCACGACGGAGAACAGTGTCACAACGCCAACAGTGTTCTACTTCCAGAACTTGCCTCAAGTCTCTTAAAGCTAAAACAGCGGATTAGCAGAGCCCTTTTCTAATGAATCACGCCTTTTCCACCTCCACTGAACATTCTCAAGCATTTGGAGCACTAACTCGTCTTTCGGGGCTGGAAAAGGAATTCCCCAAGGCAGGACATTGTCATCTCAAGATACCACCAGATGAAACGGTGTTCACCTCGTGGTGACCAAGTCGCTAGAGCCAATATCGGCTGCACTCATAACAAAAGGTAGCTTAAGGGATCCAGTTCATCAAAGGGAAGTCTTAAAACGCCAGCGACTGTCCTGGATATCGCACCTGGCCAAGCCTGCACCCGACAAGCTTCAAACAAACCTCCTAGTCGTCATAATAACCTTCATACTGACCGTACTGAGCCTGGGTGCTAACCCACTCCTCGTCGGCTAAGCCGCGCATCAAACGCCTCTGCAGACCCGACGCATCCTTGTGCCAATCACACGCATAGTCGCACTTGGGCATCTCGCTCTCTCCAAAATACTTGCAGATCTGCGCATGGCGACAGGCTGTCGTATCCTCGCAGTACAGAGCGAGCCTCTGTAAGCTCTTTGCCTGAGCCTCCCAGTTCGATCCGTCGCGGTTGCCTTTCCTAATCATACTCTGCACTCGCTGCAAATCTTCTCGACTGTAGTATAGAAAGCAGAAGCTGGCGTTGCCGTCGCGCCCCGCGCGGCCTGCCTCTTGGTAGTATCCTTCAAAAGACTTGGGGAGCCGCCAGTGAACGACGAAGCGGACGTCATTCTTGTCGATACCCATCCCGAAAGCTGTAGTAGCCACGATGATATCATAGCCAGGCTCATTCTTCACCCAGCGGGATAGGGTTTGTTCTTTAGTCTCTTTTGTCAGTTTCGCGTGGAAGGGCCTTGCCCCTACGCCTTCATCTCTCAGTGCTGCCGCCAGTGATTCGCACTCATCTCGCGATATGGTGTAAATGATACCCGAGACGTTGTCTATGCGCTCGCCATCGGCTTCAAGCTCCGACTTACGCGGCTCTTCTTTCCTTCTCTTGTACACGCTACGTATCCACGCGAGAAAGTCAGAGAGGCGGTTGTCGTCTTGATCCTTTGTGTATCTGATTTCAATGTGCAGATTCGGACGGTATGCGGACATGACGAAGCTTTCAAGCCTTTCAGGCTGCTCCAAAAGACCAAGGGTCTTGAGCAGGTCCTCACGAACCACTGGGTTCGCCGTAGCTGTCAAACACATGATGGGCACCTTTGGAAAGGTCTCACGAAACCATGACAGACGCTTGAAGTCTTTGCGGAAGTCGTGGCCCCATTCGGAGATGCAGTGGGCCTCGTCAACGGCGATGCGTGCCAACTCGCATTGCTCGTGGACCAGCTTGATGCGTCTCCTGAACGAGTCGCCAGAACACAATTCCGGGGTTACGTACAACAACCTGATGCGGGGATGGCCGCTAGCTAGATCTTGGTTGATGCGATCTCTCTCAGCAGGCGGCGTGTTGCTGTTGAGAGAGCTGGCGTCGATGCCCGCCGATCGCAGGGCTTCAACCTGATTCATCTGATGGAGCTGTCAGCTGTCGAGCCTGACTAAGGCTACATGGAACATCCCTCACCATGAGACTGAGCAGTGGCGAAACGACAATGGTAACTGTGCCGCAACAGGAATCACGTTAGTTGACAACGTCCGCGAGTGCTCGGGGCAGTTTCGGGTACTTACTGCCGTGGTCAATGCAGGCAGGGAGTTGGAAGCAGAGACTCTTGCCAAACGACGTGGCAGCCTGGATGAAGACATCTTTGCCGGTGAGGGCCGTCGCGATGATTTCACGTTGCTGAGGCCTGTGGTGAGTTGTTAGCTTCATGGTCGGGCGGCAAATAGAGGGACACGTGGACGTGAATGCAAAAGCGAGGCATGTGCGGGCGTGAATATCTTCACCTGAAGGTCTCTTTTCCGAACTGGCGTCTGAGGGTATAGTCGATATCGACGCATGAGTTTGAGCGGGATAGGGGAGGCATGATGGTGGGTGTCTGGAGTTGATGAGGATGTCGTGACGGGACAGTGCCCAGGCCCGATGTGTCTCTTGGTTGGGCGAGCTTAGATAGACGGTGGTGGTGCAGGGCTCAGTAGCATAATGTTGCACTAGACCAAGAGGAGGCTCCGGGTGTAGTCATGATCGAGCTCGGGTCCGGAGGTGGTCCGTCTGACGTTGGGCTTTGGGGGCCTTGGAGAGCCGGCCTGGCCGAAAGCCCTCAGACGGGGAGCGGAGCAGATGCAGCACCAAGTGGGCTTGAACCCGGGAAAGTGCCCGGCCAAGAAGAATGAACGCGTGTCGCACAGGCACAGGCAATCGGAGGTTTCCAGTCGTTCGGATCGATGGGAGTCTGGGATATCTCGATAAGGTAAACCGGGATTGAAGTGGCTGAGCAGCATCGAGTATTCAGGAAGATGGACAGATACGTCAGGTAGTTGACCAGCATGGAGCACCTTCCATAAGGTAGGCTGGCTGCCTACCTGGCCAATTGAATTATCCGATCCACCCAGTTTTAGGCAAGTCCACATAACTCAGGCAGTACCTACCTTCACCAGGGCAGCAGCCTCAGGATGCCCGCCCAACCTTCAGTGCACAGGTACAGGCCTGTCTCGGTGACGAGCATTCTCTCGAGGTGAGCGAAACAAAATCCAAGGTGAGGAGGGAAAGGGACGTCGAGACACACGGGTTCTTCCCGCACCATCCCTCTCCCACTGGGAAGAAGCGGAGGATTTGCTGAAAGGGTCGGGTGCACCCTGAATGCTCCGGAAGGGCAGGAGTTGTGGAAGCAAGCAACGGCTACAGCAAGGAGGTGCCAAGACATAATACGGAGGCGCCACGGTAAGAAGGGGATCGAGGAGCGTCGTGTTTGCACCATCAAATTCACAGGGAGAAAAAAAAAGAAGAGACAAAAGAGAAACAAGCTCCAGTCCTTCTCGGCCATTTCCTAATCTGGTGGGCTTTGCAGGCGACGCTGTCAAAGTGCGCAGCCCGGGCCACCCCTTCCCGCACAGCTGGGACACTGACACTACCGTCGTCCCTCTCAAGGCCTCAACAACATGAAGGGGGACCCCAAGGCACGCTAGCGCAAACCAAAGCAAGGCAAGGCAAGGCAAGCCGGGGACGACGGGGAAGGGGGAAGCGCAGTAGCGGCGGCTGCAGTCTTTTAGCCTCACAGCGGGCATGTATCAGTGGCAGCGGCCGCAACGGCCAAGCAGCAAGCAACATCACGGACTCTGCGTCCGCGTCCGCGTCTGCGCCTGCGTCTACTTACCCATTGCCTAAGGTACCTCACCCAAGTTGCGTCTGCGCCCGCCTCCGCGTCTGCGGCACTCCTTGAAAGTGCCGTAGGCCCGTAACCCCCTAGGAAAGCTGACTTACAAAGCCGCGCCCCAAAGAACCACCTCATCATTCCTCTGGCTGGGCTGGGCCGGGCTGCAGCGTTCGGGGCTGGTCCATTCCTGATTCACGCTCATGGCGCGATGGAAGGCGTGGTGGTCATAAGGTGCGTACGGCATATGCCACAAGGTTAGTCGCGGACGGTGATTCTGCGTGTCTGTGGGATTCTCCTTTTGTCTGGATCGGATGGAGCTGGAACAGACTTGGGGTTGGAATCGGAGGAGGACGGCAGTTGGGTTGAAAAAAAAGGTCGCAGACGACTGAGCGCACCTCTGGGACTCTGCCTGGTCAAAGGTAGAAATACATACGAGAAACGCGAGATCGCCTCACAGACGTAATATCTGACAGCCCGCCGGGACACGGCCCTGGATCTGCAGAGGCGAGCTGTTGCATCTGCTGCAAAGGCGTTGTGTCCGCCGACGGTTTTGTCGGCATCACATCAATGAGATGATGGAACTTGACCGATGGGCCTAACTACCCGAGATACCTGCATGGCAAGTAGTATCCGTACGGCAACCCTTCTGTTTTGCCGTTTGGCGTCATCGCTTCCGTTCGTGGATGAGGTGCCGCGACTGATGCGAACTATCCAGAACTCTGTAACACCCTAGCAGCGAACTGGATGTGTTCGTTTCCATTGACTTTCTGCTAGCCTGCTGCGCCTCTCCTTTCAGAGTTCATCTCACCAGAGCCCAGGTCTGCCAGCTGCCAAGGATGCCACCGGGGACTGAGAGGCAGAAAATTGAAAATTGAAAATTCAGAGTCGTGTCGGGTCGTTGCGACATGGACGTAGCAAAAAGCAAGGCATGGCGAGGCAAAGACGGGGAAACACCGAACAGAATTAAACGTGGAAAAGATGTTTAGCGTAGCAAATTTGTGTGCGAGGTTGAATGAAATGCAACGCTATCGACCAGTTTTTCAAAACTGGTGTGTTTCCTGGTAGCGTCTTTGTTTCTGTTTCTCCTTCTCCTGCTGCCCGCTGTAACCGTTGCCGGGCCTCTCCACTGCTTCTGGACTCTCGACACCCCCGGGCGGCCAGGCCCTGGCAAGCGTTCCGTTTGATCTGTTCCAGCCCAGCCAGTAACAGGCCACTGCCGCTGCGCTTGTCTCTCGATTGCATCTTGATTCCTATTCTTGCGATTGGGAGAGACAGATACCAGGTAAGGTGCTAAGTGAGGTGTCACGTAAGGCAAGACAAGGAGTGACACAGCAGCTGCAAGTACCTACCTGTTCGCACCACTTAGATACCTTGCCTTGCCTTGCCTTGCCTCACATTGGCTCTGCTGCTGCTGCTGCTGCTGTTCCTTGACGTGACATCAACCCGCACCAACACGACGTGAACCACCAGCGCCAGCACCACCAGCAGACCAGTTCGTCGAGAACCGTGGGCGGCTGGGCTTGTTATCTTTCCAGGTGGTGTGTGGCCCAAGTGTCGTGGTGTAGCCACCAGATGCCTTATTTCAAACGAGGAGGTGTTGTCACGAGCGCCAGCCTAAATTGAGTATTTCGTCATGGAAACTTCTACTTGCTGCCGGGAGACTGCTCTGGAGGTTTCGAAGGGTCTTGAGAGGTGTGCATCGATATTTACAGCGCTGTGTAACGGGATGACCGGCGAGTGAATATTGGGTGAGGTTGTTGAGATACCCGCCTACCTGACCTTGGATACACCTAGGTGCACTGGGGAGTAATAATAGGTGCTGCTGCCAGATGTGCTGCTGCGTGTCGAGGTGCCTTGCATTTGTTGCGGCGCGCTAAAGAGGCGTTTTAGCCTGGATACTGGGTCAACGCCCCCTTTATTGTTCCGCTCCACACCCTGGCCTCGATGCTTTTTTCTTTCTTTTTCCATCTTCTTTTCCCCCTTCCCTGCTTGCTGACCACTGAGGTTGGGTGGTCCTTACGGATAGGTGGCCGGCTCCAAAGTTCTGTCCCAATCCCAGACATGCCGTCCATCCAGTCGCGTGCCTCGAAGCTTGTGGTACAGAATCCCCAGGCGTCTTCATTGGCCACCACAGCAGTGGCACAAGCCGCTGCAGTCTTCAGTCGCCAACAGTCTGTGCGGCAAATTCAACCCCCCCAAAAAGGGACTTGCAGGTATCCGTACCTGCCCTCAGGAAAAGAAGAAGGGAAAGAACCTCCCTCTTCCCTGCTCCTGCCCTCGGGACAGTGAGCTTTTCGCGTCACTACGGCCTTCAGAGAGCGCTGAGTGGTGCGGAACCTCCCTGAAAGTTGCCTGCCAAATCTGCGCGTTGCTGGTAAGGCGGGCGCCAGAATTGGAAAGACGTCCCGCTGTGTCCACCAGTCCGCCGCCGCCCCCTTTTTTTGGCGCTGTGAGAGATCCAGGGCAGCCAACCAGGCACTGCAACAAGCCCCCCGGGTCCAGAACCTGCCCCGTGCCTCCCTCTCGTCCACCTGCACCTGCCTGCCTCTACTTGCTCCTGCTGCAGTCCTGCTTTCTATTCGCGTGTTGCTCCTGCCGCTGCTGCAAATTGGCAGTTGCTTCCTTGGACTCCTCCTTCCCTCCCACTGTAACCCCGGCCTTTGGAAGTGGAGGCGTGCGGCTCGCATCTTGCAGGGGGGTGTTTACCCAGAATTCCGTTACTGTTGCAGACGGTCGACGGCCACCTCCAAAGAATCCTCATCCCTTCTTCCCAGATGCCCAATCCACCACCCAAGAGAAGCTCCGGCTGGAAGATGTCAGTTTCATCGTAGCACAACCTGACAACATCTCCACTCTTTCGTTCCTCTCTCGGGTCTCTCGCTGCCCTGCCTCTGCTCTCTCCAGGAAACAACAATTTAGCAACGCCCACCACCACAAAAGACAATCCCTCGACCGTTGCGCTCGCTGCCTTGCCTCTGAGCTGCATCAAACAGCTACCCGTCTGTCTGCATCGAATCTCTCTTCCGCCCGCTCGGCCTGTTCAGCGAGGAGGTGCGACGGACCAACTGCCTCTTTTCCGCCATCGCTTCGCTTCGCTTCCGCCGCTGGCTCGTCTTCGCTTTTTTCCCCAATCCAATTCTTCCCACCACAACCCAGGTTCCAATTCTCGATCCAATCTTTCTTCCCTTCCTCTCCTCCCGTCGGCGACAGGACCATCGCCCCCGATTCGCGCACACACACCTTCTCCAACGCATGTCCGACTGTCCATAATGATCGAGCCCGCCTTGCAGTTCAGCCTGTCCCGTTCCGAAAGTCCATTGGCTTAAACTCCCGGCTTCCGTCTTCCTATTGTTTGAGAGACCTGACCAACCCTCGGCCGGCCATCCAACAACCAGAGGGAACCCTGAAACGCTGCATTCGATCCAAACCTTCTTGTCTGCGACAACAATACCATCGAGACCTTCTTCGTCCTTCCACCTCCCTTCGTCGAACGAAGCCATACCATCATGGTCGAGCGAACCGATCGCCCAGAACGGCCTTCGGGCGCGTTGGGCCCTGCAGCCATGGGCATAGCTCGTGGCCTGCCAGAGAATCCCGCACAAGGCCGACGCCAGCTTCAAAATGCGGCCGCCCTTGGCAACATCCCTCCGCCGCCCCCTCTGCCGCCGATGCCCAAAGACCTCCGAAACCTCCCCGGCGGTTTGTCCGCCTCCGCGCCCATGACCTCCGCGCAGGTCATCGCTCTTGCACGCGACGCCATGCAAAGCGCCCTCCACGAGAACGAGTCCCAGGCCGCCGAAGCGAGTGCCGTCAGCAACGAGCTAAAGCCCGGCGTCACGATCGATTTGAGCCGGAAGGGTATCCAAAAACTGCCAGACGAGGTAGTCGATATTATCAAGAACGAGTTGGAACGGTTGGTAGACGTCTTTTGCCGTTTGCATGGCCAGTTTTGACTAACGCGACCGCAGTCTTGCCCTTTCTCACAACCAGGTCTCTTCCTTCCCTACTCGCTTTTCCGAATGCACATCTCTCCGATACCTAAACGTCAGAAATAACCAAATCAGAGAATTCCCTTTGCCGGTCAGTAGTCCCAGTGTGAAAACCAGCAATAACTCCGGGTCTGACTTCTGTTTAGCTTTGCGATCTGAAATCGCTCGAAATTCTTGATCTTAGCAAGAACAAGCTTCGAGCTTTGCCACCTGACATTGTCAAACTTGCTTCTTTGAAGGTCTTTTCAGTACAAAAGAACCGTATTGAGGAGCTGCCAGTAGCCCTTGCCGATATGGTTTCCCTTCAGGTGCTTAAATTTGACGGTAACCCCATCACCTTTCCGCCTCGAGAGGTGTTACAAGTGCAGGCGAGCAGCCCTCCCAATGAAGGATATCTGAAAGAGAGCGAAGTCACCGAGGTCGCCGTCACTGCACACATTAAGCGCTTTCTAAGACAACATGCCATGAATGGCCGTGCAGAGTCAGACACTGCTGGCGAGGAATCTAGCGAAGGCATGGAAACACCTCGGATGCCGCCCATCAAGCGTGTAGTCAGCGGCCGTTTCCCCATCAAGGTCAATGGCACCGATGTCCCAGATATTCGATCCCCGAATCTGATCAGACCTCCACCGATCCCGAACCGGTCTCACTACCGCGGATTGTCTCAGCAGAACACAGCCATCCGCCGCCCAGGGGTAATGCCTCTGACCATAGGAAATGTCAACGAAAGACTGCGAAGCAATTCAGAGACGTTGCTGCAGGCAACCCGAGGGGAGCGACCCGAATCGCGAGCGAGGCGTATGGGAGTTGTGTCCCAGAAGGCCTCTCAACTCGGCACCTTGGACGAGACTACGGCCAACAACCGCTTCAGTCACTACCGAGGCCTCAGCCACGGCTCTGCGATGCAACCACCGCCCGCGAGCATGTCCGTCAAGAGCCCCAATAGCCCGGCCGAGCCCTTCCTTCAACGCCCGATCTACGTTCGACGACTCTCTGTCCTGCCCGAGCGAAGACGCGAATCCAAAGTCTACGACCCGATCCTTGAAGCTGCCAAGGGTATCCTCTACGCCGTTTTTCAGATTCATCCCATGATCCAGATGCTCATGAGTTTGACGAGCGACGGCTCTTCCAAGAGATCAAGCCTCGAGATCGTCTTCTACAACACCAACTCACACGTCGAGGAACTGGAGCAGGAGATTCAGAAGCACGATCCTGCTGTTGTGGGAGACGAAATGGCGGGTCGCGAAAACGAAAACGTTCACCGTGCCTGCCAAACATTGGTCAGCGCCTACACCCATGTCTGCACGCTCCTCGCGGGCAACATTGATTCCTTCGTCGACAATGGAGATCCGCGCTACATTCGCACTCTCTTGATGCTCATCTATAATAGCATCATGGAGATCAGGTGTACTCTGGCGTCGATATCTCCAGAGGCCATACCCGGAAAGACGGCTGCCCGAGCCATGGCGATGGGAGAAACGATCAAGCCACACTCACGCGAAAACTCCATCACGCCCACCGCCGAGCGCCTTGGACTTGCGCAGCGTCCCCGCCCTGGTCCTATTCTACACAACCCAAGCAACCTTAGAGTTGCCACGGACGTACCTTTGCCATACATGAATGGAGCCGTGGCTACTCGCACTGCCACGCTTACATCGGCAACTCCCCGGTCAGGTGAATCGTTCGCCTCGGCCTCGTCTGGCGGCCGCGGTATTTCAGACTTCACAGAAGACGACAGGTACTTTGAGAAGATATTCCTCTCTCTGCAAAGGTCGTCGGAGCTTGTCATGAGGACGTTACCCATGTTTCAGAATCACATGTCTGTTCTTGCAAAAAAGGCCATGGGTCGTCGCGCTTCGGACGATGAGATGATGTGTTGGAAGGCTCTCATCAACAAGTGCGGTACAGCGGTCCAGCAGACTGAGATGCTTCGAAGTCGCCTCTCTCTCATTAAACTTAAGGAGCCTGGCATCATGAGTCAGCCTGCTTTCAGGAGTTTGATCAATAACTTTATCGACTCCTGGTGGGTATTTGGCGACAAGATTCGACACGCATTCAATGAGGTCAACCTTCCTCCCGATACCAGGGTTAGACTGCGCCCTATTCAGCAAGCTATGAAGGAAACACGCGACACCATTCTTCAGTCGCCTTGGAGCTACCTGCTGCGGCAGTCTTCCGGCTCCAACACTTTCAGTCCCGGTAGTGGACCGGCCATGCCGCCCGTACAGCTGCCAATGACTCCCCAGAGTGCGGCGCTGGGACCTGCTGTACAGGCGACGGTTCCCTCCACCCCTCAGAGCGCTTCTTTCGCAGCTGCGTTTAACGGCAACGTCTTTGAACGGGCAGATGCCCTCATTTCGATGGGCGGGCTTTCGATGTCGCGAACAGGAACGATGACGAACAGCTCGGCCGCTAGTTTCACCATGTCTTCCATGTCATCCCTCTCTTCGGACGGAGGAGCCATGACCCCATCATCAGTCATTAGCCCGAATGGCTTCGGCCCCGGCCCGGTGCCTCTACGACTCAACGGAAGCAAAGTCGCCTTCTAGTCGAAGCGCGTAGCAAGCCCTTGGATTCGACGCACATTTTTGGGCAAAAAGAAAGAGTCCAAATAAGACTCGTCACGCCCCTTTTTCTTCTCTTTTTGGTCTCGATGATCACCATACATTTTTGTCGATTGCTCTATCCTTCTTCCACGCATAGCACGGCGTCAAGGTCATACTCATTTACGGATGGAAACCATACACTCCTTCAAGAAGTTCCTGGCTGGACACAGAGGTTCAAGGAATGCCAGTAATGTTATAGTTACGAAGCGGCAAGCTGATGCCATTTCCATGCACACTGGACATGGAGGCCTGGGGCTCCTGCGGAATCCCCGGTACGAGTTCACGTACCACGGTCGACATCAACCGTCACTCAGCTGCACTGTACTTTAGATACTGCCCCTCGGCAATATAATGAACAAAATAGACGTTCATACCTTTTAAAATGTGTGTCCTATTTTTCAAATAATGCGAAATGAATGGTCGTAGCAACTGTGCATGTGCTAGCGTAAAGCCAAGCTTCGGTCCGTCGATTTGGAGCACCTGAATAGATTTAGACCAGTCTAGGCAAGGGATGACGTCGACTGCTGATTGGCACTGGCTATTCAAAAACTGAAGAACTGTCATTATCACATCACCAAAAGGTTTTGTCAATTCAATCTGCAGGCATGCATTGTCAGTCCTTTACGTGGCCAATGTCACCGCACCTCCACTAGCTCCCGCCCCGGAGACGCGAAAGGTGCGTACCTCGGCCGAGGTTCAATTTGGAATCCGTGGATTCCGCAATGCGACGCGCCGGGAGGAGTCAGGACCCCTGTTTACGTCAATCCGATGGCGGGGGCTTCGGCGTGTGTCTTTGCAATAACCAGTGCTTAGTTATCCCCCAATTCCACGGCTTTCTTTAGCGGGGATATTGTAAATTGATTGGCGATGAATCACCCGCGTGCATATGGAGCTTCACTACCTTGTCTAGGTAGATACACAGCAGCGGTGGTGGGTAAGCAACTTGCCTCGCAGCCGAACAGCACCTTTGATTTGCAATTCGCAGTGCAAAAGTCGCCCGACGCACAGCTCCGTTCGCCGATTCGATCATACCCACCCGCCGATCCACACCAAGTCCCCGACCTACGGACCTGCCGCTTTCCAAAGAGGCCCCCGAAGAAAAACTTACATCAGCTACCTACCTTAGCTACTTGCCCGCTCTCTGCCTTATCCCGGACCACACGCACACCACACGCCGCCCGCCGCCGTCCGTCTCGTGTCTCCCGTTGCCGCATTTGTCAGGTCGCGCATCTGCAAGCATATAAGACGTCACCCCGTTCAGCCCCACCAACCGCACATAAAGAAACACCTCTCCCCCCCCCCCCCCCCCCCCCCCCCCCCCCCCCCCCNCCCCCCCCCCCCCCCCCCCCTCCCCCGCGATACCCTCTCGTCTTTCCCTCCCCGAGAGATACGCTCCATGCAAGCCCTCTACCGCACATCTACCGTTGCATCCCGAGCAGCAGCAACAGCAGCCACGGCAGCCCCCACGAGAATCGCATCCATACAGAGGCACCTCTCCTCGACAGCCCGCATCATGGCTCCCATCACCAAGGAGACCGACTTCCTCGTCATCGGCGGCGGCAGCGGCGGCCTCGGAGCGGCGCGCAAGGCCAGCGGGCAGTTTGGCGTAAAGGCCATGATCGTCGAGGGTTCGAGGTTGGGAGGAACCTGCGTAAACGTTGGGTAAGTCCCTTCTCCCTCCCATACCGCCAATTCTTTCTTGTCTGACATGAAGCTCGCACCAGCTGCGTCCCCAAAAAGGTCACCTTCAACGCCGCCGCCATCGCCGAGACGATCCACCAGGCCAAGTCGTACGGCTTCTCCGTCTCCGAGACGGCCCCCTTCGACTGGACGACCTTCAAGAACAAGCGCGACGCCTACATCAAGCGCCTCAACGGCATCTACGAGCGCAACCTCAACAACGACAAGGTCGAGTACCTCCACGGCTGGGCCCGCCTGACCGGCAAGAACGAGGCCGAGGTCACCCTCGACGACGGCTCCAAGGCCACCGTCAAGGCCAAGAAGATCCTCATCGCCGTCGGCGGCAACCCCACCATCCCCCCCGAGATCCCGGGCGCCGAGCTCGGCACCAACTCGGACGGCTTCTTCGACATCGACGTCCAGCCCAAGAAGGTCGCCCTCGTCGGCGCCGGCTACATCGCCGTTGAGTTCGCCGGCATGTTCAACGCCCTCGGCACCGAGACCCACCTCTTCATCCGCCACGACACGTTCCTGCGCAACTTCGACCCCATGATCCAGGAGACCGTCACCGAGGAGTACGAGCGCCTCGGCGTCAACCTGCACAAGCGTTCCCAGCCCACCAAGGTCGAGAAGGACGCCCAGGGCAAGCTCACAATCACCTACAAGGACGCCGACGGCAAGGAGACCTCCGAGGGCGGCTTCGACCACCTCATCTGGGCCATTGGCCGCACGCCCGCGACTAAGGACCTCGGTGTCGAGACCGCCGGCCTCAAGACGAACGAGAAGGGCTACATCCCCGTCGACGACTACCAGAACACTAGCGTCGAGAACGTCTACGCCCTCGGTGACGTCACCGGCAAGGTCGAGCTGACCCCCGTCGCCATCGCTGCGGGACGTCGTCTGGCGGAGCGTCTGTTCGGAGGCCCCGAGTACAAGGATGCGCACCTCGACTACTCCAACATTCCCTCCGTCGTGTTCTCCCATCCCGAGGTTGGCAGCATCGGCCTGACGGAGCCTGAGGCCGTTGAGAAGTACGGCAAGGACAACATCAAGATCTACAAGACCAATTTTACCGCCATGTACTACGCCATGATGGAGCCCGAGGAGAAGGGACCCACCGCTTACAAGCTTGTCTGCGCCGGCCCCGAGGAGAAAGTTGTTGGTCTGCACATTGCCGGCCTCGGCAGCGGAGAGATGCTGCAAGGTTTCGGTGTCGCTGTCAAGATGGGCGCCACCAAGAAGGATTTCGACAGCTGTGTGGCCATCCACCCCACCAGCGCTGAGGAGCTGGTTACTCTGAAATAGACTTTTGCATAAAGACAGGCTCGGCCTGGTATAGAGGAGGAAAGATACCAATTCAGTAAAATTTCAGGTTACTCGTACAGTTTTTCCCTCGTAACGCCAGTGCTATGCTCATGCTTGGTAGATACGCTCTTTTCCCTTTGATCCCCAACACCATGCTTTCTTTTCCTTTCCCAAACTTGGAAATAACCTTATGTGTACTTATATCCACTGGGTGAATCTGTCGATTTAGAATGACCTCGCGTGTGCTGTGGTTCCACGCTCTCGATGGCCCCTCTCACAGGAAGACAATGCTGAAGAGACCCGTAGTCGACAGACCAAAGACTGTAAACAGGAGTGCGTGAGGTGCAATGGCAGCGGCAGCACTAGCAGGTTTCGAAGTGCTAGCACTCGGTGTTCTGGTCATTGTCAGTGCCATTCTGTGGGCTGTCCCGTCTAGGTCAGTACTCACGAGATGGTGGTGGACGGTGCCCCCGTGGCTTGAGGAATGCTAGAAGCGTCGGAGCTGGTGGCAGACGGAGTAGGCGAGGGCGAAGGGGATGAAGATGGCGCAGGCAGTTGGGCCACCTCGATCCCAACCTGTGCACAGGTGGAGGCGAAGTTCTTGTAGGCAGGCTGGAGGTCTGCGGCATCGCAAGTGGCCGTCAGGTTGCCCAGCATGTCTTTTTGCTTGACCTCGCAGATGTATTCTACACCGCCGGGGACGCCTTGCTGTCCAAGAGAAGCCAGGAGACAGGCCGGAGGTGCAGCCAGGACGAAGAGAGGAGCAAATGGTGCGAGGGCGAAGGCGGACTTCATTGTGGCGATGTATTAGGTAGTAGGGCAAACTGAAGCAAAAGGCAGAAAATAACAATTACTTAGGCAAAGGACGACGAACGCAACCGAGGATAGCTCGTAGGTAGGTTTTCGAGGATGGTTTGTGTGAGTCTGCAGGCTTGTTTGTAGGGTGTTGGTTGGAGGTGAGGCCAGGTCCGGCCAACAACGACGTCGCGCAGACGGGAGTGACGTTGGGTGCCGTGTGGTGTGGCAGCTCGACTCGCCTCACATGCGTGCCTTCCGTGTAAGTGGCCTTGGACGTATCAGTGAGACGCAGCAGCGGGAAGGAACCCTGGTGGGGGGAAGATCATCGGGTAAATCTCCGAGGTTTCCTTGCAGTTTCTGGGGAAGGAACGGGGTCCGGTGGGTGGTGGGTGGGGCCGGCGCGAACTTCGCTCCTTCTGGAACATGTTCAAAACACCATGCTCACTTTCCCATCCGCCGCGCACTTGTCCATTCGGCACCCTCACGATCGCCTCGCAGTCGCTGCTGCACTTGGAGGGGTGGGGCGTGGCTGCTGTGGACTCGTGGCTGTCGCATATTGATTTGGGGCCTCAGAATTATCCCGCAGGATTCAGAGCCTCGACTCGGTCCTTCTCGTTGTCGTTTTTATCGACTGTCTCACCATTACTGCCGTCGTCGTCGTCAATAGTCACCACTGACACCTGCTCTATCTCTATCGTCAACATCCGGACAGTCGCCTCCCTCGTTGTCACGTCTAGCGCACTCAGGCCTCCAATGAAGCACGCCATCCATTTACGAGTCGGATTCTTGCCATGAGGACCCTTTCTCAGGGTAGCCACCACCTCGTCTCCTACTCAATCGGGAACGCGGCACGCGCGACAACCAACCAACGCAACCCTCTGTACCGACAGGTCGAATGGCATTCCTTCATTCCCTCTTGCTGTTGCGTAACCTCCGAACCTTTTCGCGGCCTACACTCGATATTAGGTTCAGACGTCTGCGGTGATCACACTTGGCAGCCCAGAAATATCTGGGCAGGGCGACAATTGACTTTCCGTCTCCCAAGTCGCTCTTTCATCGGACAATCTGCGTTGGTGGCCCTGTTTGTCCCATCCATCAAAGACACGGCTCTTTTGAGTTTGGGTTGAGATCGCACCACGTGCGGATGTCCTGACTCTGACGTTGCTTCTCTGAGCTCACCTGTCGGCCGACGCTCGTCCTTGAGAACAACTTTGATTGCCGCGGCGCCTTGACTTGCCGCTCAATCGCCGCCAGCTGCGACTTGCATGAGGAACCTTCGACATATATGGCGAGAATGCAAGCGGCACCTGGCAAGAAGGGGCCAAGCGTTTCCTTCGCGTCCGTCCCATGGCTGGACGGCGGCTCTGGTGATTAAGAAGCCTCGTATCTCGTATGATCCCTCGCTGGGCAACCGGATTTCCCAGATCTTGGCTGCGATAACAATGCACTTAGCGGCTAATGAGGCCTTTGCGACGTTTCCCGTCACGGATCATCAGATGAGTTTCGCTTCGTCCACAAATAAACGACGAGTCAGAAATGGCGCCTCACAGTATGCGGAGCTGTCCCACCAGCCATCACCTTGCTCTTGAAGTTGAACTGATCAAACCCTCCTAGAACCACTCACACTCGCTGTCTATCGTCACTTGTTCTGCCAGCAATCCCTCTCTTGTCGATGCCATCTTGGAGGGTATGCCACCTCTCCTATTGTTCCATCATTAGCGCACCTGCGTGACGGCGCTTACTCGAATCTCCAACCCCGACGTCGATACTCCCCCGAGGCCATCGCTTTTCACCGCGGCGCAAGCGAAAATACTGAAACCCAACACACGAAATCCCTCTGGCACACAACACGCCGCGACTCCAGGTGGATAGTGCACTCTTCCCACATGCCGTTATACCCACTAGCAATTCATCGCCGATATTCTGCCGTCATCAAGGCGGTCCTGTTCGTAAGCCCCGCGGAGCAAAGTGATGGCGCGGCACGTTGAACGGGTGCGCGAGTAGTTCTCGACAGGTCTAAGGACGGGCAAGCCGCACGTCTACCCACAGCCCACGGCTCGGGGAGGAGCGCAAGTGCCCTCGTAGATGACGATATGAAGCAGTTTGAAGCGCCGTTTCTTTGTCTGCGTCCCCGTGTCCGCGATGGACGACGAGCCTGACTAGTTGGCATCGAAATGTTCTCCTTCCCGTCGGGGAGTATCAATCCGCACGCACAGACTGGTATGTCATAGCCAACTTGTGGCCCTTTGGTCGGCGTTTGGAGGATTTAGACGAGGAGGCTCGGCAGCCTGGTACCCAAACATGGCCAGAATTCCCCGAAGCGGCTTGGCTGCGTGTTCTCAATGCATTGTAGTCTGCTGCCGCCAGCGCAGCTAGCAGAAGGCAAGCATCTACGGCACGGCAAAACAACATCCACCGCAGCTTAAGCATACCGAATTCTCGAATGGTGTACGGTCAATTAAATCAAATGCTATTGGATCACGGGAGCGCACCACCGGTGCCAGGCTCTTGGAAGCTCTCAGAGTTTGAGGCTTTAGGCTGACTGGCCGGTCTGAGCAAGGTCTCTCCAGATACACACATGTTTCTGTTCCGATGTCCGGACGAGTCATGGGCGGCTCCCTCCATCTGTGCGATCAGCATGCAAACGCAGACGTTCTCGAAGTTCTTCTGGATTTCCGTGACGGGTAGAGCACGGCCGGGCAATACGCACACACATACAACAGGACGTCGGACGTGCATGATGTACTCGCGTAGTTTGAGACCCCGCTCGGTTTCCCCGGATTCCCCTGTGGGTTCTCGCAAGGTCGACCCGTCGGCGGGTTCAAGCCGTTGGGTTTGTCGCATTTCGCTCTGCCAATCAGGCTCTCAGATCCTCAAGACGTGTGGCCCATCTTGCTGCAAAGCCCGATCTTCTAGACGGTCTTCCCTACCGTCGATCAACCAGCCCTTGGACTATGAAACTTGGCTGTTGGAAGTTTAACCTCACGGGCAAGGGGCTCGCAAGTAAATCCTCTCAACTGTGTGTGGCCGCGGAAAGCCTACGCTTCGACCCGGGTCACTAACGTTGCTGTCGAACGACGTTTGTTCACATGCGGTCCTTGTCCAACCTACTTCCGGTTCGTCGCCCACCACCCGACCCGACACCTTGTTTTGGCGCACGCATGACCCGTGGAACGGCTGCACATGGGCAGTCCAGACCATCTCTTTTCATCAGACTATGTTGACCAACCCAGACTGGGAGCATCGCTGGAGAGATCAGACAGCAGTTGAAGGGCCGGGTGCTGGGTTCGCATTCGTTGTTGTGTCTGCTCAATGCATTCGAACCACCGCCCAGTACATACGTAGGGGACCACCTGTCAGTCATGGACCATCCTGACTCCTTCTCTTCTCTTGTCAATCCGTTCTTCTGTGTGCGGGCTGGATCATAAACTACCCTCCCGCCCGTCCCCCCCCGCTCTCGTCCGCTCGAGATCCATTCCAAGAGGAACACCAAATTCTGGGCCTGCAGTGTAACCCTCATCATCAAACATGGCGGACGACAAGGTCGGCCAGACGGCAAGCGTGACTATCATGCTCATGACCTTCATCACGCTTACTGTCGTGATGAGAACATGCGTGAGGAGTGTGCTGTTGAGGAGTGTCGGGTGGGATGACAGTAAGTTCCCGTTGTCGATTAAAGTTTTTCGAGAATCATCACTGACAGTTGGCAGCACTGGTGATCATTAGTTGGGTAAGATGCTTCAAAAGCCCTTGGTCAATGATATCGTCTAACAGAAATAGGTGCTGGCAATGGCTCTTTGCGGTGCAATTCTTGCCAGTGAGTCTCAAGGAACGCACTTCCCGGTTGATTTCCACTAACACAACTTGTAGTGACCAACGTCGGCTTGGGATCACACTTCCAGGACGTGTCGAAATCAGACTTTGCAGAGTTTTTGAGGGTTAGGGCTACCGATAATCTTCTTTGGTGACGTCTCGCTGACATGGTGTGCGTAGCTACAAGTCGTCACGCAGCTCACTTACATCTGGGCGTTTGTGACGGTGAAAATGTCGTTTACCGTTCTCTATTTGCGGCTACTTCCCGACCAGATGTATCAGAGAATCAACAAGTTTCTCCTGATCTTGCTTCTTGCGGAAGGCATCGAAGAGACAGCGGTCGTCATCTTCAGATGCAATCCCATACCAAGAGCTTGGACTCCGTCTAT